TCAAGGCCCCTGTTTTGAAAGTGAAGAGTTCAAGACTCGTCTGGAGGCACTGGGTATTAAGAGGATTAGAGCGACTCCGTATCATCCGCAGACAAACGGCTTAACCGAAAGGAACAATCGTACACTCAAGGAATGGCTAGCTGCGAAAAGAGGCAACTGGGAAACTGACTTACCGTTGGTATTACTAGCACATCGTGCCACAGTACAAGGGACAACAAAAAAGTCGCCTTTCCAGCTGATGTATGGGAGGAAACCACGCTTACCGGTGCACCATAAGACTTGGCCACAACAACAAAAATGGAACAGTAAGAGATGGACAAATGAGCGGAAACAAGCTATTCAGAATATACAAGAGAAGCGCAAGAAAGACATCGAAAATTATGGCAAGAAACAAATCAAAGCTTGGAAGCTGTTTGAAGTAGGTGACCAGGTGAAATGTAGAGAACGAAAGTATACTACCGGAAGTGGACCAGGATCAGGAAAGCTTCTACCGAAGTGGGAGGGACCATATGTGGTCACATCGAGACGCGGTCCGGTGTACACAATAAAGAGAGGAGATAAAGAGAAAAGAGTAAACGCCAGTCTGCTACAAAGATGGAGAGAAAAATGTCAAGACGAGGTACCAGAAGAGCAGCAGGATGAAGCGTCTGTGCGGCGATCAAGGCGGTTACAGGAGAGACTTTATAATGAGGGGGCGAGTGTGGTGAGTGCTACTTATAATCCGATATAAGTAGTATATCGGGAACGAAGTAACAACATGTTTGGCACACTGGAAAGAGCAATCAAAGAAGATAACCATGAGAAGAATGTTGCCTTTGTGTATTTTCTTTCCTCTCTTTTGTTCTTAACCCTGTTATTTGTGCTTTTCTCCCTTTTACTTCTGCCATAATCAACATCGTATGCATACAAATGGTGTGTTTGCTTTGTGTTAAAATTGCTCTATCTAAAATTGTCTGGGACAAAAGTGCCTCTCCCATATTTACTACTTGAGGATTTTAGTAGGTTTCATCATCCTGTGTTTCTTACTACATGGAATACTACTGCTTTTACAAACATTCGAACAGGCATTTTGCTAGCACCACCCACGTTCTTATTTCTGACTTAATTTCCAACTCATTTGAGCTGGGTTGAGCTTTAAGTACATACATTGTTTTTAAAGTAGATGCGTTGGTCCTTATTCGAAATTAAGACAGTTAATACTTGAATATCTATTACTCGATTTACGGGAAAATATTAAGAACATGTCTAGTTCCTCAACTTTCAAAATCACCAAAAAAGTCTGATAAGGTCGTGTACAGGAATGGATTTTTATCAAAGTTAAGTGTTTGTTGAAGTTGTTATAAATTATTTATTTTATTCAAGTACGCACTTGTCAAACGGGCGCTTAGTGTAACCACTGGTTAATGAGGAAACGATGATAATTAAAAGGTAAAAATAACCGCATAGGTATCATCACAAATTCCATTCGGTGGGACTTTCATTACGCTTCATTCTTTCAGCAGAAAAAATAGACTTGAGTGTTGTGACCATTGGTTCTGGTTGAAACACTTTTGTTAACATCTTGAATCATTGTGTCTTATGGCGTCTCTCCTGACATAAAAGTTTCAATGCGCCAGTTATAAGCGCTTACTGTGGTTATAAATTCGGAATAACTATTCTTCAGTATGTCGTATCATGTTATGGGCTGACTGCTTTCGCCCTCTTGTCAAACATTTTTAGTGACCAACAGACAATAAAATATATTTTACATCTAACCAAGTCAATGAGGGCAGTGTCCTAACGTTTCATGACTTATCGAAAGCAACTTCCATTTGTCGGGGGCCTCGGAGATGCCTACATGGTGTCACCACTCCATGCGAACAGTCCTGCAGATTTGGCAATGGCCAACCTCTAGGCAGAGGACTGAAATACGCAGAGAAGCTTTTTAAATCCAGTCTTTGATAAGTAGAACATGACAGTAACGGCTTTCGATATACAATTTGAGGTTTCGTCCGTCACACACACACACACACGACATTGGCTGGATTTCAGTAGCATGTGGATATATTTTCTCACTTTGCAAATGAATTAGTGTCTTCTGTTTTCTAGATTATTGTATTCATTGTTAAAAAAAATAGATGTGGTTTAGAATAAAGTATACAGAGATTTATGCACCAGCAAAGTTAGAGAATAGATTCACACATTGATGAAATTTATCGAGTGATGTGTAAGCGCCTGTGGTATAGTGGAATGAGATTTCTACTCATATTTCGAAACCATAGCAACATATGTTTATGTGGATTATCCTTAGTACCACCTAAGTTATTATGTGTAACTACTTTGTTGAGGGCATATTCGTGTATTCACTACTTATAATTTCTTATTTTCTATGTGATTCGAATCATTTAGGCTGATTTTGTAAAAGCCTGGGGTATGAAGTACGTACTAAACTCCCCTTCATATAAAGTACCTGAAGAGATGAACGTATTGATTGACGACTTTCATCAATACTAAGCAAAGTTTTCCTGTTCTGAACTTATTTGAGATGATCTGTGAAGTTAAATTATTGTTTTCACTGCAGAATTCAATTTGCCTAAAGAAATACTAGTTCCCAAAGTCTATGCTGACAACACAGGGTATATGCTTTACTATAGTTAATACACATGACTTAAAACGATGTTTCTGAATTACAAAAATAGTACAGTTACATAACGGCAATAACTGAAAAGAACTGTCCCTCAAGCAAAAACAGAAACATGCCGAATAGTATTGACGTGCGGAACAAAGTGTTTAGTGAGTCATAATTACAAGTATATAAGGAGATAAAAATAGCAGACATGTAGTGGGCGTCTACATAAGAATAATCAATGATCACGTGGCAGTCACAGTCAGCAAAATAGAAGTGACAGTTGAATGGCAGGCTATCATGACGTTTATCTGTTGCAATTAAAACTCATATTTTATTCCTTTCGTGTGTTTTTTTATACTTAAAATCATCCTCTTGGTTTTTGTATACATTTAGTAATAATTAAAGATGGAAAGATGTACGCCATGAAAAGTTATAACCGGTGGTCGTTTTTAATTGACGTCATCCTCCTCTAAATGATCTGTCACAACTGATTCAACGAGTGCCTAGGATCTGTTTAAATTTGAATTTCGATGACTGAGATGATGTAGCTGGTGTCACGTGCTTTATTTGCATCCCAGTCATATTTTCCGTTTGAAGTCACCTTAAAAATTGTAACCAGCAAGTTGTCGCATTCTTCGTCTTTAGTGTGATATTTATCGTTGAATACAAGAGCGCTGTGCTGAATATTTCCCCATAACCTAACAATTTTGAAAGTGTCAAAGTAAAATTATTAGACAGTGTCAGTACTTTGTGGGTGGTTCTCAGAAGCGAATTCTTTTAAACTGCACAATTTAAGTAGTCTAGATTATGTGCATCTTGTGCTTTTCATTAGATGAGTGTTTTATGATTGTATAATCATGTCCTTGTCATATTTTCAGTAGATGAATAGATTCCCATGTGTTTAATATCTAAACATAACATGCTTCCCTTTATCTGAAAATTAATAACTCTTAAACGTGCAGTGCAGTGAAATCATAGACTGCTGGTTGGCTCTTAACGTATGTTCAAAATGTTGTGTAGGTGTTTTGAACATAAAACACCTCACAGAACTGTTACTGTATCCTATGAGGCTTCATTATCGAGTGCAGTTATGTTCTTCATACAACACTGACCGCAAAACATGACGATCATGTAAAAGGTAAATCAGAGGTTTGTTGTCAATGGTTCTGTTGTCCTTATGGAATGGTATTCACAAATGGCAAGACGAATGGAATGGCATTACCGATACAGGAGAAATTGATGAACTAGTGTTGGCTAGTATGGTAGAGTTGTGTAAATAACAGACAAATACCTCATTTACCGAAAAGAGTAGTCAATTAAAAAAAAGGTCTATTGATGTGTTTATGACTCAAATAAATTGTGAAGCTATTAACTGAAACGGTCAATAATTTAGGTAGTGAAACTGAAATCTCCTGATCTTATTTAAATCGTAAACACTGAGTAGGATATTTCCTGATTATTATTATTATTATTGTTCCCTTGGGTTCTTAGTAGAACATAGGGCTTCAACTGCACGTCTCCACTTGCTTCTGTCTTCTGCTGTACTTTTCACCTGCATCCATGTTAGTCCATACTGTTTCAACTCTTCTTCACACGATCTCCTCCATGTCACCCTTGGACATCCCACTCGCCGCTCCCCTTTCGGGTTCCACTCGAGCTATGGCCTGACGCGCGATGTCACCCAGCGGCCTCCTCAGCGAGTGAGTGTCCAATCCATCTCCACTTTCTCCTGCATATTTGTTGAGCGACTGGTTCTTTTTTTCGTTTGTTCCCATAGTTTCTTGTTGGTGATTCTTTCCGGCCATCTGATCTTGAGTATAGAACGAAGACAGTTGTTGATAAAGGTCTGCAACAGGCTGTTGGAAATATTCTTTGTGACCCACCAAGTTTCTGATCCGTATAGAAGAACTGACTTGACGTTTGTATTGAAAATCCGAATCATTTTGTTGTTGATGCTGAGTGACGAAGATTTCCAGATTGGTTTCAGGTTGATGAATGTGTTTCTCGCCTTCCTGATACTTTCATATATATATATATATATATATATATATATATATATATATATATATATATATATATATATATATATATATATTAAACACTACAGCTATTTTTTGTGGTCAATGCTAAATAACATCATTTTAAATGCGTAGAAAGCAATCATTGTTTCTATGCAGTAGAAAAATTGTATCATAGTAATGTGGTTTTACTTATTTACTAATTCTGGATAAACAGAAAAATGTAATCTAAGTTTTTCTGAGATGTAATGTTCATTGGCTTTTGAATTGAGTGGCTGATCGGTTTATGCTTCAGCAAAGTATTTTTGAACTTAGACCTACTGCGTATATTATTCGAAGTAAGCTTGTTTTTATTGTTGTTTCTATGTAAATAGGTGGTTTATGTGGCAGATCGTTTCAGCATACCTCTTCGAGTGGATAGAGATTCATCTGATAATTCAGTTGGTTCTGATCTAGTGACAACAGATGAACCTACTGATGAACAACTAACCCAAGAATGCCCAACTAAGACATCCGAAATTACACCTGGTTCCGATTTTGAGGGGTTATCAGAAGAAGCTGATTTACATCTCACTGTCGTCACTCAGTTGCGTCATCTAGTTAACACATTTAATGAGAAGTATTCTCAGATGTCAAATCAGGTAAAGTCAGTTGTTATTTTGCTTTATTTAACGTGTATTTCTTTCTCCTTGTACAATTAGATAAATTTATAGTGACTTGGTAGTTAGATTATAAGAAAATTTCAGTCGATTTTAATACGTCATAGGAATGTGACGTTTTGTTACAATATTATTGAATACTTGGTTGTAGTGTGCCTAAAGTTTCACGTTAATTTCTAATAATTGTGTTTTGCTACGGTACAATCAAGCACTAACTCTTAATTGATAAATAATGTGTTACAGACTATGTTTAGCACGTAGTTGAGGTGCAAGAAATATGGTGCTTAGTTTTCATCAGTATGAGCTTTCACTCTTATAGGAAAGAAGTTACTTATAACAGATATATAGTCATGTCTCAGGTAGGGGAAACTTATTTTAAAAAAAAGTATACACGAACAATATACTGTTTCCAACTATTTATTTCAAAGGCTGTAAATATAGACACGACATTTTGACTAATGGAGATGGTTTGTGGGACAATGAAAAAAGTGTTAAATGCTGTAAATTGCTCCCGTAGTGACAATTGTAGTATAGAGTTAATGATAGTAAAAGTTTAAAACAATTAGTCCCTTTAATAAATTTGTATGAAATTTTTTGAAGACAGAGCTTATCTGAAAACTTTGATGTATTTGTGCAATACATTTCGAACATGTGTGAGAAAGTCCCAGAATTATTTCCGGTCAGAGGTCAGATTGATAAAATTACTAAGTGTAATAAACAGAAGATAGGTACGTAGTGACACTATTCTAGAGAAATATTTCAGGTCAAACTAAAAATTACAACGTGTAATAATCAGGAAGATCGTGTAGAAAAGATAAAATAGGATTATAATTACTGGAAAACTAGTCAGTTTGTATAATTACGGGTTAAGGATGTAGTGTTAACGAAATGGGTAGGAGGTTCGGACGTATAAAAATAAAAACAGTAACCAAGTCTAATAATGCAGATAGGGATTTAAAAGGTAAATATAACAAATAAACGGGAAGGTTGGACAAGAAAGGTGATAGGATAATCATTATTGGTGAGACTGACATGGCCACGGTAGGGACAACTTTTGGACACATAGAATAGGCTTGAGTTTTTGGATCGCCAGTGCCTCAGCTATTCCTAGATGTCTTGATTTCACTCCCTTTGATAGGTTGGATCGGCTCTTATGGCTTTGAAGGACTTTTCATATGGGGCTGGATGTCTAGAATTCACTAGATGTTCTGTTATCGAACTGTAAACCCCTTCGCGTTCTCCCTTTGCTAGCCATGCTGGATAGTGTTCCTGAGCGCGAGGGACGCATGGTACGGCCAATGTACTCAGCTCCACACGAGCAAGTTAACTTGTATATGCATGTTGAAGTGGACCAATGCAACAGCTTGTCTTTCACGTGTTGGGTGAATAGTTTCTTGCAGGAGAATGTTATTCTTAGGCTGGTGGCGAAGTATGTTTTACTGAGAGACTTCGAAAACCGTCTGCGAAGAATTTCTGTTTCGGTATCATTTTTAAATTCGAGGTTAAATATCAGCATCTTTTGGGGGGCGACTTAAACCTTGGTTTTAGATTCTTATCTATGAATCTGGGTGGGAATCCATTTTCTATCAAGGTCCTTCGGAGATTTTGTAATTTTTCATCGATTGACTCTTCAGTGCAAATCTTCCGGATCCTCGAAGAAAGAGAGTATATTAGGTTTCTTTTTTTGCTTAGAGGCACACAACTTTTAAAGTTGATAAACTGTCTGTTCCATGTGGGCTTTTTGTAGATGGATCTTCTTAGCGAGTTGTTAGCATTCCTTCGCAGTTGAACATCGAGAAAATGAAACACTAAGTGAGACTCAACTTCCAGAGTGAAGTCGATGTTTGGGTGGGCGTTATTGAAGATTTGAAGTAGGTTTTTCAGATCACAGTTCTCATCACAAATAATAAAAGTATCATCGATGTATCTCTTGTAGAGATGGAGGTCGTCGATAGTTGATGATAAAGAGTTGTTTTCTAAGCTATCCATAAAGCAGTCAGCCAGGAGGGGTCCTAGGGGAGACCCATTGCTACTCCATCTACTTGCCTGTATAGTTTTCTAGCAATTATAATCCTATTTTGTCTTTTCTACCCGATCTTCCTGATAATTACACATTGTAATTTTTAATTTGACCTTTGGCCTGAAATATTTTTAGAATAGTGTGCCACTACCTGTCTTCTGTTTATTACACTTAGTAATTTTATCAATCTGACCTCTGACCGGAAATAATTCTGGAACTTTTTCACACATGTAATGTAAATACACCAATGTACAGCCTAGTTGATGACTTCGTCGAAAAGAAAATTTTCTTCGCTTCAACTACCTTTTTAACATTTCGAACAGTGTGTTCACATATTTACGTGGCAAAGCCGTTTATGTTAAAAAGTGAAAGGCCAATGAAAGTCAACAAATTGATAAGGGATTGAGAATACAATGGATAATAATTATCACCACTTATAATATAATATAATGAGATAAGGATTACCAAATTAGACTAAGGGTAATAGTAAATTGCTTTTGTACATACAAGGAAGTGGGTTTGTTTTACAAATAGCTATCTCCTGGGCGTATGTCAGTAAGCGCCTCCCAACTGCTTTTTGTGGATAATCATGAATGCTGTTTTGTTATCAGTCTAAAGACGAAGTTGGTATCCTACCACTTGCGTTTACCAAGGTTTCACAGTTCATTTGTTTTTCCACCTTTCAGGCTTATGTTCTGTCACCCTCACATGCCAAGCACGATTCCCCTTATCTATAATATGTGTGACCACACACAAATATAAGTTGGTATATAGTATGGAATGTGACAATTACTTGTTGAGGCTTGTATAGCATTTTAACTTTTTCAATAATTATTAGCCGGGCTACACAGTAAGTTTTACAAATGACTGAATTTAGTCTCTTTCCTAAAATTCTACTGTTTATTTTCACATAACAAGGTGATTTGATGTAGACATCTTTTTTTGAGACGGAATAGCCTGCAGGATTTGAAGCTAACTGACCTTTGCACTGGTTCAGATGCATTAAAGGATGTCCGTTTCCACTGGTCTTATTAAATTGCTCTATCTCTCAAACTTATGTTTCTGTATTGTAGAACCGTTACATTTTTACCTTCTATGTATAATCTTTGAATTAGGACAGTATGAATTGGCGCACTTCTGTGCAAAGTTCCACAATGGTTTACCTCTCCATTTACCCGGCTTATCGTGGAGTAATACAATGTTAGTGTCGTCCGGTATTACTGCCTTAAGTTGCTATGTTGAAGTGCTTAATTGTTAATCAGACTTCCTCATTATAAAGTTGTCTCAATATGAAACTCCGAATTGTTTCTTGCATAGTAAGTCGACATTTAACCAATAAAATTTTAAAAATGCTATAATTAACCTTCATTTTATATAGTTTTGTCTACACTGTCAATTACCATTACCTATAAAGGTCGGTTTTTTCGAGGCTATCACTATTCACAGTCGATTAATCGTTCGTAAATATAACTAGGAATTAAAATGAATTGTACTCTAGTATTTTGGTAATCCCTCTTTTCTGTAAATGTTGACCTTTTTGTTTCATATATATATATATATATATATATATATATATATATACTTTTCAAACTTTTATATAGGTATCTGGACGCAGTAGTTTGGATATTGAAGAAACTCAACAACAAAACTTACGTTTAAAGAGTCTGTTGGAAACAAAACGTGAACAAGTGCATGCATTACGCAACATGTTGAAAACGAATAAGACTACAGCGGAAACTGCTTTAGCTAATTTAAAACAAAAATATGAAAAAGAGAAAATTAATGTTACATCAACAATGCAACAACTTCGTAATGAATTAAAAACACTTAAAGAGGATGCTGCAGTCTATGCATCTTTACGCGCTGTCTTCGCTCAACGTTATGATGAATACATGACACAAATGGATGAAATGCAAAGAAAACTAAGCGTAAGAGAATTTCGTTATTTTCCTCAAACTTTTCTATATTAGATTATACGTAGTTTGAAGAGATATTATTACTGTTATTATTATTATTTTTATTTATAAGTTTAGCCGATGATTTAGTACAATGATGATAGTAAACAGTTTCATGTAGTGTTATATTTCTGTTTTGTAACATCCCGTTTCATTTTACTGCTTGATATCAGTTAGCATTACTTATCTCAGTAGTGTCTCTTCTTACTATACAGGTTAATAATAGTAAGGAAAAGGTGTTTTAAGCCATATAAATGCGTCCAAGTTTTACACTCAATAGTTTGATTTATTCATCCTTGTTGTTGCTACTACATTTTACTATTGAGATGCTTTTTCTTCCCTCTTTATGTCTTTTATTAAATAAGTTAATCTGTTTTCAAGTATTGGTTTTGTAGGGATTTTGTTTGATTGGATGGAGGATTTTGTCATGAGCTGACATCAGTTAGGGAACCATTGGAAAACCTGGGAGTGCTGGACAGCTATTTCCTCCTAGTTTGGGACTCTTTACAGCACGCACCCACCGGGGCTCGAACCCAGGACCTTCTGGTTACAAGGCGAGGTCGTAGACCATTGAGCCACTGGGAACCGATCCAATAGCTCATGATGAAATCCTCCATCCAATCAAACAAAATCCCTATACAACCAATACTTGAAAATTAATCTGATGCTCACTAGCGACTGGCCCTATTCAGGCAGTGACCTGTGGTTCTAGTGGGAAGCCATGACCAGTAGCGTACAGCAGGTTAAAGATGAGGCAGTAACTTATCGACGAAGACATTGCGAAATGGTCACGCTATGTCGTGAATTGGCAGAAGTTAGAATTCATGGGCCATTGGATCGGGTCCCAGTGGTTCAATGGTCTACGAGCTCGTTTTGCAACCAGAAAGTTTATCTGTCTAATTTTCTACACTTAATCAGTAGTGAATAATAATGTTACTCATTTTACCCGGTAAGGGTGTATGTATTAGGTGGTTGTCAGCTATATATTCGGCTATGTAAGAGACTAAAATATTACCAAGTTGTTTAGATCAAAGTTGATCAAGATGTGTATTAAACATGGGAATTGATTGAAACTAGTGAGTTCTAAGGGTGAAGTTCACAGAAGACTGCAGATATATCTGTATTCCCTGTAGTAAAATTCATTTTCCAAAAGTAAATTAATTCATCTCAATTAGAAATAGTTGTAGATTATTTCAAGTGGGAATACTTTTCTGAACTGTATGATATGTTAACACATCATTGAATATTTGTTGACAAAAATACACAAATGTATTATCTGAGTAAATGGTTCAGGTAGTTACCTTTTTTAATCAGCATCATCGGAATGAAAAAGTTGGTATCTAGTCGTAAAATGTAACTTGTTATTGTTAGTAGTGCTGATTTCTCATTAGGTAACGTTGGATCGTACTTTCACCACACAGATGCACATTCCATTATCATTACTACTTTTAATATACAGCTGATTTAAAATACATGTGTACATTTCGTTTTTTTTTCAACTGTAGGTGGCTGAAGAAGAAAAAAGAACCGTAAACACCTTACTACGCTTGGCTATTCAGCAAAAACTAGCACTTACTCAACGATTGGAAGAAATGGAAGTAGCTCATTATCAGAAACAAACCTGTGACTTTCGCTCCGTTCCACCCCATCAAGGTTATCATACTAGCCCAGTTCAACCTCCATCCAACTCCCTTTTATCCGGTCCAAATCATCAACATCCTTATTCCACACCTATTCATAATCAGAGACATTCATCTCCACAGAACTTTTCACAAATTGATCTGCCAACAGCTCGATCATCTACACTTCCTGTAACTTACTATTCCGGTACAAGTCCACAACATGGAAGTATGTCATCCAATGGTAGTGGTGCTAGGCTTTCAGGTCCTGGATCTGACAGAAACAAGGTATTGTAATTATTATATGAGTAATTAGCACATTGTGAAATGGCGTTAAACTAAGGATTACTTTCGTATAAGATTAATTTGAAACTTAATTAGTTTACGAGCGAATTTTGTTTAGTCTAAACATAAGCATATTTAGACCGATATTGATTTCTTACTAAAACGTAGGGAGTTGAGAGTGACCCAAAACATTAAAATCGATTCGATTACTGTTGTGGTTCTAGTTGCTTTACGTTTAAAATGCACCAGATTGAAAGACCATCCTGTTATTCCCTTATATATAAAAATAAATGAGACGTTCTGGATACGCATATATATATATGTGCATACTTTATTTGATATCACCGTTATTCACAGTGTACTCTTTTTAATAGATATTGATTTTCCTTCTTATTTTGTATTAATAATGGACGTATTGGTAGGGTATTTATGTGGAATGCTTTTCTCCATCGTCAATTATTCGTGTAGAGTGTAATGTTTACACCTACTTGAAGATATCCGTACAGGGGAACTTATCTCCTAGTAAATTCCTGTAGCCGACATATTCTTCTCTTTTGTCAACATCTCTTTAGCAGTAATTCTGTTAATTTTGTGTAAGTTACTAACCACTTATACTGAGGTGTAATTTCGTTTACATTTGTTTCCACTGGGAATCCAAACCGTCATACCAAACCGTTGTCAATGTAGCGTTATTCTCTTTCAATAGAGTAGCGAATATTCACATTTGATGATTATTGTGATAGTATTTTTCAAAAGTTGGTTTGTAGGGATTTAATTTATATCATTTTTGATCAAGGGTTTTTGCCAGTTAGAAAACTATTGCAAACTAGGGTGTACGGGATAGCTGTTTCATCTTATTTTGGGATTCCTCATCATCACCAAGGATCAAACCCCATGACCTTCAGGTAACAAGGCGAGGTCATGGGCCATTTAGCCGACGGATTTCAACTTCTGCAAACTCGTGATATACTACGCCATCTAATAAATGGTGTTTAGTATATGTAAGCTGTCATGGAAGTGAGTACTCATTGTACACCTTAAAAGAAGTTCCATCATGAATGTTACAGAAATACTAACGTCGACATTTGAGTTTCAAAATAAAAGTAGGTGTTTAGATATTATCCACTGTTACATGTTCACGGGAAATGGGTGTCACGATAATAAATTTCAGTGATTTTGTACTAGTAAGCATAATTGGTATTTTAGTTTTATGATACATATATATTTATTGCTTTTTTGAATTTTAGAGAAATTCTCGTTGCAGACGCGATGGTGTGACGTGAAGATGTTCATTTCGCAAATCTTTGATGCAATAGTTTTTATCACTTCCACTTTTGTTCACATCTGAAAGCCTGTAGCTCTCAATCGTTTTGTGTTTTGTGTTTTTTTCATTTCTTATCAATCAAGACACTCTCATTGATCGCTTTTTACATCTTTCAACGTATATCTATGCATCTGTGCACGTGTGTGTGTATGCTTCGCATATTCGGAACTTCAGTATTGTAATTATTTAGAGTTCCAAATAAAAATGGTTCATGACGTGCTTAGGATACAAAAATTCCCACCTCATTAAATTCAGTTAGTTTATTTCAATTTCAATTATCATTACTCTACACAAGTGCAATATGACTTTTTGTTTTGTGTTTCAAACCTCTTCTGAAGTGGTGCGTCTTCTTTCAATTCCTTTATGATATCATTCTGTTTTTCTGTCTCTCTGTTTCTCTCCAAAACTTTTATACTGTCCTATGATGATTTGTCCATGCTGACGTTTATAATATGCCAGTAAACTAATAGTTTTTGCACTTCTATTATTCCTCTAGTTTCAAAATCAAACTTTAATATATGCACATTTTTATTTGTTAACAAACCACCAAATCTACCATGTAGAATTTCTCTCTCTCTCTTATTTTTTCTCTTTCTTCAGTAGTATATCAACTGATATAAAGTTTTACTTGTTCTTCATCAAAATGACCACTACAACAACAACACTACTACTACTGTACCTTGTTTCATTTCCTTTGTTATACTTTTATCATTATTCACATACAAAAAAAACGCTATAATATATGCGCCGCATTCTTTATTCATACTAACTAATTGTACATGTTTACCTTCTTGTACTTCTTTTCCTTTCACAAAGTTATTCACTCAGTTGCTTTTTTTAAAAAAGAAAATTTTATTGAAATATTCATTTGAAGTCAGTTTTATCTTTCTTTTAATATCCGTTATTATATATATATTATTCTCTAGGTTGTATGGAAGTACTACGAATAATTTTATTCGCCTTTTTGATATTTGAATGAACATTCTTGATCTGAATTTCCTATTATTCAGTGTATAGTATTAAATTATAATTTGCTTGAAACTATACCTTTACTTGTTAAATTCATTATTGGAATTCTAATTTACTTCGATTCGATACATTAGACTTGGTTGAATTTTTATTTTGTAGGAAGGATTTAAGTGTTGCCATTATTAAACCGTACAACTCTTAGCGTGAAGTGCATCCAGTTAATGAAATTAAGTAGAAGACAGATCTTAGAATTGAAGTTCAATTTTATAAATTTTGTTAGTAGACGTTTGTTTTCAACTGTGTGATTCAACTGCAATGTGGTTAGTGTATTATTATTATTGTTTCCTTTAATTCCTAGAGGAACATAGGGCTTCAGCCGTGCGTCTCCATTGCGTTCGGTTCTCTGCTAGAGTCTTCACCTGGCTCCAAGTCTGCCCACACGTTTTCATCTCCTCTTCACATGACCTCCTCCAAGTCACCCTTGCACTGACGACCAACTCGCCGCTTCCCTTTCGGGTTCCACTCGAGCAATGGCTTGTCTAGTGATGTCACTTGATGGTTTCCTCAGAGTATGGCCAATCCATCTCCATTTCTTCCTGCCTATTTGTTTCACAATCGGTTCCTGCTGTGTTGGTTCGCTCCCAGAGATCCTGTTGCTGATCTTTTCTGGCCACATCTGATCTTGAGTATTGAGCGAAGACAACTGTTAATGAAGGTCTGTAGTTTGTTTGAGATGCTCTTTATGACGCGCGCAAGTCTCTGGTCCGTATAGTAACACTGACTTCACATTGGAGTTGAAAATCCGGATCTTATTTTTGATGCTGAGTGCTGTTGACCTCCACACAGACTTGAGAGTAGTGAAAGCTTGTCTTGCTTTTCCGATTCTTGCTTTGATATCCTCGTCAGTTCCATCCGCCTGTAGTTGAAACGATGCTTCCCAGGTCGGTAGGTAAAAGAGGTTGTTTCTTTCAGGTTCCTCCCATTTATGCTGATCGTTGTCTGTTGTTGTTGTCGTTCTTGTCCAGGAATCTTCATCACCTCTGTTTTCTCTATGTTCACCTGAAGTCCTATCTTTGATGCTTCTTCTGCCAACTTGTTGCTTTTCGCTTGCATATCTTCCAGTTTGTGGGAAATCAGACATATATCATCGGCGAAGTCCAGATCCTCCAAGTTTTTTGTGTGAGTCCATTTTATGCCTGTTTCCTCATTGCCCACTGTTTGTCGCATTATCCAGTCTACTGCAATCAGGAAAATCATTGGCGATAGTAGGCAGCCTTGTCTTACTCCTGTCCTCACTTCGAAGGATTCCGTAAGTTTCCCGTTGTGAATTACTTGGCATGCAGCATTGTCGTACAGCTGTTGGATGAGATGTATAATTGTCGGTGGCACCCCACAGTAGCGTAGTGGTTTCCAAATCACCTCTCGATCGACTCTGCGCTATTGAAGGCCTTTTCAAAGTCGATGAAGTTGAGATAGAGAGGTGACTGCCATTCCAAGCTTTGTTCAATGATGATCCGTAATGTGGCGATCTGATCAATGCATGACTTGTTTCTCCTGAATCCAGCCTGTTCCGGTCGAAGTTTTTCATCCAGGGCATGTTTGATTCTCTCCAGGATGATGCGGCTTAGTATTTTGCTTGGGATGGACAGGAGCATGATTCCGCGCCAGTTCTTGCATTGACTTAGGTGTCCTTTGTTTGGTAGTTTGAATAAGTGGTTAGTGTAACTGCAGGTTTTTTGCTTCTCTCCAGTATGACTTTTTTCTTCTTCGGAATCAGACCCAGTATGATTGTTACGATGGGCTCACAGTGTTTTTGTTTCTGATATGTGTAGCGACATGCATTTAAAAAAGTAGACAACCAGCTTTTAAAAATGTCTGATGATTTGAAGAATTAAGCATAGTCAGTTGTTTTTACTTTATTCAAGTAGAGAGTGCAGGAATAACCATAAAATAACATTAGTCACCATATTCACATTATTATGTACCGTAATATATTTGAATATTTTGCGTTTTATATCTTTAAGTACACAGTATTTGTTTAAGTTTACTGTCAAAGACACAAGAAATTTAGAATCTTTTGAGTTTACACTCTATAAGTGTTGATTGTGGTGTACTTTATGCGATTTTTCTGGAAAAGTGGAATTTGAATACAACTGGAAAACAAAAATTCGGTAATCTCTGCTCAATTGATATGATTGTGTAGTCTTTTAATTAAATATTCCTGTGATCAGATAAGTATTTTTTCTTTGAGATGTACGAGAACTTACCTTCGTGTAACGTACGGTTATCATTATGGTTATTTCAGGGAGTAATTATCACATTATTGAAAAGATAATTTGCCACTGATTACTCCCTAGACCTATTTCTCACAAACTTTACGTAATAGTTACTAGCGTGATGAATAAACATGGTTCTTGCTTGAAACTGTTTTCCATGCAGCAGTTATATGTACTACACACTTCAGCTCATTGACATCAACGTTGATTACTATCTTGTCATGATTAGACAAAAGAATATTAAGATAGCAAGACTGTTGTTTTCAATGTATTAATCTTTACAGAATCTTTTTCTATATTCTAATTGATTAAGTTAAATTGCTCGCCTGACATTGACCTAATTCTTTGCTTGGTACCAACATGTGACACATCATCATATAATTAAATCAAATCTTTCGTTCTGGGTGAATGACTATGCATACGTGAGTTTTTGATAATTGAGTGTTTGCTGTGTTTATCGTATTTAAGAAGCAATGCTTACTGTTATCAGGTCATAAATCTCACTCGGATAATATACTGAGTTGTTGCATAACACTGTATTGATTGGAATATCATCTCATAATTACATACACTGAAGTCTCCTATTACTTTTTGTGTATTCAATCCAGTCATGCTCGAAGGAAGTTCGTTTGCAATGTTTGAAAGTGCACTGGTAAATATTCATTCTAATTGACTGGACATTTTGGATGCCAATCCTTGAGGTGTTGAACAAATCACTGTTTACCCTTTAACTTAGTATATAAATATTTAGCATTTTGATCTGATTTAACCTGTAACAACAGAAGACAAGGGTCAGGCAACAGATCGTTTATTAAGGAAATCAAAGCATATTTATATATTTTCATGTACATTATTATAGATTAGTTAAGCAAACAAACACAGTCTTCTGATTGGTTGTTTCTCACTTAAAGTTAATCTTTCATCTCTTTGTGACTGTTTCTTGAATGTCAGATCATCTATATGTTAACTGTATCCACCTACGCAAAGTCTACTATGGTCGGTTTTGAATCAGTCTTTGTTCATATTTTCTCACGACAAATCTTGAGAACGTAAACATTGACGTAAATTACTGTCTACCAATTTGGCTAGTAGACAGCTCTCACCACAAACCTAGTCGAAGAAGGCACTATAATGTACTTAATTCCAGATTACAACTCAGTAATACTGAGTTGTTCACTTTTGTAATTTTATATACTATCTACAGTATTTGGTTGTTGATGTGACAATTTCCTTGGTCTGGTATCTCCAGGTCTTCTGACAGTGCACTTGCTAATTATTTCTGTCACCTGTACAAATGTTTCTCGGCATGCATAAGGTACCATTTCTCAAGATCTTGAGAAATTCAAACGAGGCTGTGCTACTTCTGTATTTAAGGTAGCCATAAAATCAGTATGAAATCCTTTTTGAGAGTAATTCGAAGTTTGCATCCCTCAGTCTTGTTATTATGCAAATAAACTTTTCATTACATAGCACTTATTGGTTATTCAAGGTTATTTTGGCATCATATCTTTCTACTAAAGAGTGCAAATTCGGGCATGGTGAAGTCAGAGACTACACCTATATATAGGTATGGCGATAAGTTGCAATTCACTACCAAAAGCCGTAATAATTAAGAAGTATACATGCCTGGAGATAAGGGTTGTGTAACATGAAAATGAATGCTTGAAATAATGTCTGATTTGGAATCTGTGTGGGGGAAAATGCGTTGTAACTGATGATGAAAAGACAATATCAAGTAGAAAATGAAGAGAAAAAAAATCTAATGTCTGGTAAGCGCAGGAAACAAATAAAATTCTCATGTAATCCTATTCTATTCATGCATGTAACCAAACATGCTGAATGGACCTGGAAATCCAATGGGCAAGAAAAGCTCTAGTAACGGCAGTTGCATTTTGTTGCTACAACGTTATCTCTTCACACCACTTATCACAACAGGTTGTTATCATTAAAATGCATCTTTTGCGTTGGTCGTACGATGTGTTCGTTAAAATGAGTATGAAAGATTCTCAAGATGTTTTAGAGGCTGGCTATTCTGTTTCTGTTCTCACTAGCACAGGTGTCCAGAATGAATACGCCATCTGTCAGTAATGCACCACGAAATACTGCGATGGAATGTTTATTTAGTTCGTCAGATTACTTTTCGAAAACCTATCGGCCATGCGCATTCCCTCCTCTCTCAATTAGTCGGCGTATGGGTGCTGTTAATGACGCAAGTTAAGGTGTAAGCTGTTTATCGTATAACTCCAATCCAAAGAAGCTCCCGAGGTCACTGACTAATTTGGGTGGAGCTCTAGTTAACAAAATTGCTGCCTTACTCGTAACTGTTTGAATGTCTCATGATGTCCAAAGTTGGCCAGCGGAAAGTACTTCGCTGTAGGGAAATTGGTTTTTATTTGGTTTAACTTCAGTCCATGTCACTCTAGACGGTGAACGACAGCGTACAAGTTCTTCCAGCTACTCTTCGAGGTACATGAGACATTAAGGCATCTGATCCCAGCAGCATCAAACGTTTGCAGATAGCCGGGGGGTTACACGGCATGAATGGCTCCATTTAGCATTTAAACAACCCCTTTGATGAAGGCAATCCAGTGACAATCTTCCAGTTCACATTCAATCTGATAGTACCCCGTGGTGAGACTCCATGCCGAGACAAACAGGGCTCTACTTAAAACATGTAAAATAGTACCGTTTTGAGGGAGTGGAAACAATTACATTTGATGCTGTTGATTCAGTAGCAATCAGTATCTAGTCGAATTGAGTCATTTTCTCTCCACGACGTTGGGTAACACCCATGGAG